AGGGCATGTCTCTGGGTCGGCTCCTGACTGGGAGGCCCTGGAGTAGGCCTGCCGCAGGTCCTTGATTTTGCAGCAGACCTGCTCCCAGGTCCGCATGTGGCCTATGGTTGCCAGGCTGGCAGCCATGTAGCTGTAGATGGCTGCGTTCCTGTGGCTAGTGCACAGATCATAGACGTTGGAGGCTTCCCCCCAAACCTCGATGAGGTCCACGATCTACGCACTAGACCAGGTGGGCACCCGCCTCTTGCGGCCCCGGGCAGGCTCCTGTGAGCCGCCAGCCTGGTCCTGGGAAGAGGCAAAGGGCTGGCTGGCAGCGGGTGGCTGGCTCATCCTGTGCCAGGTGCAGGGTCTGCTGGCTGGGTGCTGGCAGGCTTGCAACTTGCACGGGCACCATAGCCAGACTGTGCCCCTTTAAGGGCTCCGGGGCCGGGAGGGGGGCAGAAGAGTTTCCCTGGTTGTGCCCAGAGTGGCCACCAGGGCAAGCTGGGAAGGGCTAGCCTCCAACTAGTTCGAATTAAGTGGCTACACAGCCCTTAATTCGAACTAGGCGTTAGTCCTCATAGAATAAGGTTTACCTAGTTCGAATTAAGCTCTCTGCTAGTTTGAATTAAGTTTGAACTAGCAGTTTGCCTGTGTAGCACCTATGAAAGTTAATTTGAACTAACGGCTCTTAGTTCAAATTAACGTTGTAGTGTAGACATACCCTTAGTGCTTTGGACACAGCTGCTGATCCAAGTGATCAAACATTAACAATGCACTAAGCTCACTGCTTCATTTTGTGGTGATTATGAGACAGCAAACTCGCCAATGCACTTCAGCATCACGTCCCGATCTCTAAATACAAATCCTTTTTTGTTTTTCTACACTTCAGAAGCATCTCCTTGTGCAAGGGAGCCAACAGCCTTCTCGGGCCCCTGGGTAAGCTGGAAGGGTTTGGTTCTGTGCTCCCAGGAGGGGCAGGGACTCTGGTGGAAGGAAAAGGGGTGGAGACAGCTGGCCCTCAGCACTACTGGAAACACAGTGCACCCCCACCCCAGTCCTCAGCAGTGATCGGAGTGTGCCATGCAGTGCCCCCATCTCCACAGGCAGCCCTAAGACCCAGTCAGAGCATGTTTGCATAAGGCAGATGAAAATATGCTAGAAATAGTCTTGGAAAATCTCAGCTGTAGGCACCATCAACTGCAGTGCTCTGGCATGTGCTTCATATAATCACTGAGAACCATGCCAGTTTCTGAGAAGGACTGAGCAGCAGATGTTTCTAGTTGCAGCAGATATCAGCCTAGAAAAAGGTGCATGAGAATGAGGCTGGCAAGTCACTGATGTATACATTGAACAGTAGTAGTGAAAGTCTTGAGGAAAATTGTTAACTTCCTACTTCTAGGCACTGCAATAGTCTCCATGTATAGTCTAAACAGCCTATTTTGGAGGAAGGGCTCTACTGCGTCAACAACCTGGGGCAACTGAAGAGCGTTTACACAGATGGCCACTTTGCTACAGCGATGAAATCCAGGAAGATGGCTCCTGTCTTTAGATTTTGTTGAAAACCATATTTTATAAAGACATAATCATAGGTGCTTCCTCCTTTCCTGCACCCCACCTGCTCAGCCCGCAAGACATTGATCTGCCAATGAATCACTCCAGAGTTGGACAAACATTAAAACACTTTAAGACACAAACTGACAGCAAGCCATATTGAGGGGAGCCCTTGCCCAGCATGAGAATGGAATAATCTTTGCTTGATACCATGTACATGGTAGCTTCTTCTTATTCAGAACCCACATATTAGTGAGCCATTCTGATGCCTTTGGCCCAAGGTACTTAAGAAATTCTAGCAAGATGTTATCATGTCCTGCCATTTTGCTTGGTTTGAAGGAGTTAAAGATTTTATCTAGTTTGTCAATTTGATTGACTCCTGCCCACATTCTGATGTTGAAATTGATGCCATTCATTATGTATGTTGTGTTTAAATTGCTTCTTCAGCAGAACCTTTGCTACTTGCAGTCTCACTGCAATCTTGCAATCACACTGGGAAATTTTGGCCTGGAGATAGTTGAACAGCAACCAGCTGGTTATCACTTCTGGCTGAAATAAGTCAATAAATTCCTTCCACCAAATGAGCCTATCACTATCTAGAGACTCAGTCAGATGGTCTGCAATGTCTGAGTCCCCAGATAATTCAAATGTGATGTCAGCTAACTTGTTAGTAATTTAATTTAGTAAGTAAAGTCTCAAGTGCAACACTCTCTGTCCTATCTTAATTGGAGTGTTTCTAGTCAAACTTCATGACCAGGTACAATAAACATTTTTTAAACCGATGATTTGATTTTTAGGATGTGTATTAATGGCCTGACCTTCCAAAAATGCTGAATCCACCCTGAGAAGAGCAGAATATCCTTGTGACAGGGCAAGGTCCTTCTCCTTTCTTTTTTTAATCAACAAACCTCTCAGAGATCTTCTGGTCAGATAGCTCATGGTTTACCTCACTTTGTTCTCCCCACTACCATACAAACTCATCCAGCTCCATAGTTGCAATATCATACAACCCTTAGCTCGCTCAGTCAATGAGGAAGCACAGAAGGTATCTTCACTCAGAATGCTCAGGCACACCTGCAATCTCTCTCTAACCCTGAGTACTTCCTGTGTATCCCTGTTCTACTCCTTAGATAATGGGCTTATTAGTCTTTTGGGCTCTTCTTAGCCTATCCCAAGCTACCAATTAGGCACAGGTCTTAATCAGGGCTATTCTAGAGCAACTACTTGTAGTGGCAGTGATCAGAGTGCTGTATCAGTTTCTGTTTTCCAGCATTCTGTCATAATGCTCATCTCCAATTATTTTCATTTGGGCCTTACCGCACACAGCTCATGGTTATAGTCAGGTGTTGCAGGCCTTTTTTCACCTACTTTCTACTGATTCCCACAAATGAGAAATTATTAGCCTTTACTACTACCAAAACTCTCTTGTTGAAAGAAACATTGAATATGTGACTCCCCCATTCACCCAATGAAGCAAGACAGCTTCAAAGATTGATACGGAAAATATTTGGAAGAATACAAAGACTAATTGAGGCAGTGGACACTAAGGACACATAACTTACTTGTATTGGAATCATCAAGAGTTTTGCCACTGACTTCCCTAGAGTAGGACTGGCGCCCGGCTCTTACTACATTTAAACTGCAGAGCTGCAGCGGGGGTAGTGCTGTCCTTTTCGGTTAATTGTGTAGTCGATACAAATTGTATCAACTACATGATAACCTAATTACCTGCCCATAACAACCTTAGATTTCATAGCAGCCTTCAACTACCTGAAAGGGGTTCCAAAGAGGATGGAGAGAAGCTGTTCTCAGTGCTGACAGATAACAAAATAAGGAACAATGGTCTCAAATTGCAATGGGGGAGGTCTAGGTTGGATATTTCACTAGGAGGGTAGTGAAGTACTGGAATGGGTTACCTAGGGAGGTGGTGGAATCTCCATCCTAGAGATTCTGAAGTCCCAGCTTGATAAAGCCCTGGCTGGGATGATGTAGGTGAGACTGATCCTGCTTTTAGCAGGGGGTTGGATTCGATGACCTTCTAAAGGTCTCTTCCAGCCCCATGATTCTCATATCATTATTGCCTTTCAGGCACTATAGGGGAAGTGACTTGCCCACAGTGGCTAACCCCAAGTCCTGCTCCAGTGTCCTGACCATTAGAACCACACTGTTGTCTGAGTATTTTTTTATGTGATGGGCAAGTTCTGCCAATCCCTCTGGGGAAAGCCTTAAATGTGCTAGAACCAATTTAATTATTATTTCTCTTGCCAGTAGTGACTACAGTCTTCAGTCAGAATCAGAGCTGAATTGTGCAACACTTAGTAAGACAGCCCGCATCCCAAAGAACTTGGCAATCAACACAAATAAATCCATGCAGATTGTGGGAGGTCAAGATTTGGTCTACACCCTTTGCTCATTACAAAGGATCATTTAGTGGAAACTTCAACAATTATGTTGAGAAAAAGAGTGTGGGAGCAGTGGGGATGGGCTGAAAGAATGATGGGATTGTCTCCTTCCATTGCAGTGTAGGAGTAGAGGGTTTTCTGAACTAGTGAAAATGGGCAATTTAATGTCTTGCCTGTGGCCTTCATGGGTCTTTCCCAATGGGATTCCATGGGCTGTGTGCAGTAATAGCTATAATGCTATGAATGATTATTAAAAATAAATTATAGCAGTTAAGCATAGCTTTATCTTCTCTGTTTTAAACCTGGGTGAAGTGTTCAGTCACTGTGTTAATATATCATTTTTTTCATTAATAGGATTTTAGCATCATTTGATCAGGATCACTAAAAACAGCTATTTTTGCATGATTATTAATAATTAACAGTTGAAGAGTGCATGGAAGTTGTATAGAATTATAAATTGGATGTATTATGTGGGACTGGATTCTTGGCAGACTTTACAGATTATTCTAATACATGTTTATAATCATATTTATATATTTTAGACCTCTTAATGCAGCAGAATGTTTGAAACTACCACCTGTGACTAATTACCTTCACCATTCCAGTTTTAATACAAAAGAAATAAAGACTTGGGTCATAGTGACACTTACAAAACATCTAAAACTGCTATATGAAGAAAGAGTGAACACTCAGCCAAATAACCCCCAGAAAAAGTGATAAAGTAAAGGAAATGCTAGAAGATCCTTAAATGTTAACTACACAAGCTGCTACCCAATATCAAGAGATACTGAAGACACACTCACAAATATGTCTACTTTTCAATGTATTTTAGAATGAAACACATCCTCTTTAGCAATCAGCATTATCTTTAAAAAATCTGTTGTGTGAACTGAGCCAAAATGTGATTACTTATAAATATATTTATGAATTCATCATAGATGTATATTTCTTCTATGCCCAGATGAAGATTAAAACAACAAGAATACAGATCTAGAACTTATGTAGCAAGTTTTTTCAGCCAGGCATTATTGTAAGATTTTTTTAGCCATGCATTATATCACTTACCTTTCAGGACAGGCCTTTAATTTCAGAAAATGATGAAAGATGTTATCATACTCATTTTCAAAAATCTTCGCTAGACATAATTATCTTTGCTGTGGTAATAAACAGATTCCAAGTGTTCCGGTATTAACAGTCCTTAAGTACCTCATAAGCTTTAATTATCCTTCCACAAGTTAAAATGAATATTTTGGGTGAAGCACATGGTTTTAGAAGACTATGAAGATACAGCCCTAGTAAAAAACAGAATGTCTGGTTGATTTACATGAAATACCAAGTGCTTGTGTGAGAAAAGGTTAAAATTAGATTGACGAGCAAATGTGTTACCAGACTGCTGGCTGACAAATGGCAAAGCTATGCCAATGTATTACTTATATTGGAACTGTACTAAGAGTAAGCAGGAAGATAAATCTTATGTGCTAGAATACATTCAAACATAGCATAAACAAAGAATGCTGGGGTGGCCACAACAGAGGCATGCCGGGGATTTACATATTTTGTGGCACTAAAATACAGCATTGGTACAATTTAACAATTAGATATGGAGATCCTGACGCCTGTTTTGTGAACAAGTCAAGAGAGGCTGCTTTGATGGTATACAAATGCATTTATAATATTCCTGTTGGATGACTATACATCAGTTTCTGATAAATAAATGTCTTTCACTAACCACGGTGACTAAAGGCCCCTATGGCCTAAGAGACTCTTTCTTAGTTAGGAGAAACAATGGAAATGGGAATTAATCATATAATACAGTGACTCCCATCTTGACTAAGATCTGATCTCTTCTTGGTGGTGAATGAAGAGCAGTCTGGTCATACAGAAGTGGCCCTCTTTTTTCCAGCTATTTCCATAGTGATCCAGGCTTTCAGCCAAATTATGACCATTTAGGACAAAAATTTCAAGTGTCCATTAATTGTACATGCATCGCTTGAGACATCATGGGCATTATATGTGAGCTGGAGTGGTGGTTGCTTAGCCTATCTGAAAATTAGGTTCTAGATTAATCAAGCTAGATATTCAAAAACTGAGGCACCAAAAATATAGTGGCCACTTTAAAAAATATAGGCCTTAATGACTTATCAGTTCAGTGGATAGGTAGTCTGATACTTGTATGATGTTTCTACAAAATGTAGGTATTATATCTAAATAGAAGGAAAATGTTATAAATATTTCAGGCTGCTACTCTGTAATCACCACCTCACCATGCTGCTATATGTGCATTTTAAACAACAACAGTTTTAAAAATTTAGCATGCAGAACCCTTACTCATGATGGATATAATCTGTACTATATGTCTACAATTCTATGGGCTCCATATAGTATATCATTTTATTTATCAAACAACATGCAACACGTTCCCTTTGAACTTAAGGGCAAGTCTGCCAATGACTTGAATGGGATTAGAATTTGACCATAGTGTGAACTTTACAATACTTAAACATTGATTTAAAGGGAGTTTACACAGTAGATTTTATGGACCATATGGACTTTAACCTAAACAGAAATTTAAGTAATCAACATGTCACTTTTAGAACTGAAAATCTGCCACTTTAATGAGACACTTTGAGGGCCTGTTTCATAAATCAGGTGGCATGATCTAGATCCAATGTGCTACAAAGTACATGGAGCCGTTATTGTGCCTATGTAAGAGTAAAATTAATTGTACAAAAATATTAGAGGACATGTAGAAAGGACCACAAATGACCAGAGATAAGCTGAAACAAAACATCCAGGCCTGAATTGTGGCGCATGCCATTATTTCTGTAACAGGATAGTAATAATAATAAATTTAAAAAATGCAGATCCTCTCCAAACATTTGGAGCTGAAACTATACAAAGAACAAATGCTGCACTGTTAAATTAGCATTTGCATGTGTACTTTCTACCCACCCAGCAGTAAGTCAGGTATGGATTCAGTGCACCCTAACCCGTAAAATTGCTGTGTCCCATAAGCCAAGTATATCCTGAATAGCTCTTTTCATTGAGATAGTAAAGGAATAAGAATGAGAACTGCTATGTTTTGGGTCTGAAAGATCAAATAGAAAAAAAAAAAAGATTCTGCTAGGCTTGCAGAAAACCAGACAGTAACGCATTTAACAGGTATTCTTAAACTGGGGGTTTTGAATCACTGGTAAGGTTCCCCCAAAAAACTCCTTAAAGCAACAAAGGGCTAAATCCTGCAACTGCACAGATTCTCCCCTATTAACTTCAACAAAATACAGCATAGGCCTCTGAGGGCAGCTCCCGCACTCAAGTAAAGATAACATCAACTGCATGGCAGAATCAAACCTTATGTATCTGTATTTAGCTATCTAATTCAGAATCAAACGCTTAACCTTGTTCATAAACAGAAAAGTGAGGCTTCTACATCTCAGTCTTAACTTACTCCATGTGCCTGGTGGCTTTTTGATATTGGGAAATATCTGCGATCCAGTGAATATGGTGCTGTGACTTATAATCAGGCCTGCCAATAAGGGTGGGGTGGAGCGGGGCAAGGGAGCAACTGCCCCAGGGTCCAGTGCTGAGGGCTGTCTGGAGGAAGCAAGCTCTAGCCCCACCTCTTCTGCTTGAGGCCCTGCCCCTTCCAGGGGCATGGAGCCAAAACCCCTCACCTTACCCAGGGGCCCAGCGAGTCTGTCGGCCCCACTGTTTGTAATACTTTCATTGTATTTTTGTCTGCACAGCCATATACACTTCCAATGACACTTTATGCTAAGTAAATATGTTTGTGGCCACATGAGGATGAATTAAAAATAAGTGAGAACCTTTTCCCTTTTATATCATACTCTTAATGTTACTGTAAATATAATTTTCTTAAGCAGCATCTGTGATTTTGTGCAATTAGCTTAGATATCGATATAACAAAAAGCTGCTCATATTCCCAAAATTCGAATTGTGCACTGACTTACACAGATGAATCAATATAAAATTTACTTTGCACTAAACAGCCTAAGTTCAGAGGTACATGCAACACATTTTCAATTTTAGGCTTTACAATATTTTATATTTGCTCTTCAAGAGGGCGCATATACTGACTGGTTTGTTCAGGTTGCTCTCTGTCAGTGCCCCATGACTTGAACAAGACCATAATAGATCCACTTAATTGCTTGCAAGCAAGATGGAAAGCTTAGCAGAAATATGCAGGATGGTTTTGATATCCCAGGTCCAAGAATAGGACTATGTGGGTGTAAAAAGTCTGCTGTTCTTGTCTCCAGCTTTCCTCATACTGTGTATTTTACGATCAGGCATTCCATAGTGTACACAGCCATACACATATCTCTTTAACGTTTATGGGTTAAATTCTAAAATCTTTACACAGGGCAAATTCCATTGGTCCCATGGGAGTTTGGCCTGTATAAGGACTTCAGGATTTGAACACCAAATAGCCTGTGCAGCCTGTAGCTCATTGGTTCAAGCTGCCTCGTTTTAATCCTATACAATATGCCAAGACAAAACATTTCCCCCTCATTAGCAATCTGGAGAGGAATGCCAGAGCTTATTTTGATAGCCACTAGAATAGTGGCTCCCAAACCTTTCGGCATCACGCCCCCTTTTTGATTTTTGAGAAACCCTCAAACCTCCCCCGCCCCGGCCAAAAAATAGCAGCAAAACTTGAGGGAAAAGGGACGGGGGAGAGGAAACCAGTCACGGCCCTTTAATTCCCAGGATCAGTGTTAAAAAAGAAAAAAAAGGCCGGGGAGGGGGGAGTCATTGACCCAAAAAAGGAAAAAGATTGCCCTTTTAAGAGCAGAGCAGGCATTGCCCTTTGAAGGCAGTCATTTTGAAGTCTGCCCGGAATGCTCCATCCATTCGTTTTCTGAATTTTTTTACCGGATGGACCGGGCTCTTTCTTGGGGAGAGGATAGATGGGGAAAAGGTGGGCTGGGTTGCCTAACATCCCCCCTGGAATTTCTTCACACCCCCCAGTTTGGAACCTATGCACTAGAGAATGGTTTGTTGAGGTATGTTTGCTGAGAAGAGCAGTGATAGATGTCTGAAGCACAAACAGAAACCACGCACCACTTGCCTGATTTTAATTTTCAGTACATCCTCCTCAAGCCTTCTCTGTGCACTGAAACACTCAGGCTATGTCTACATTGCACTTTCTTGCGCAAGAACATATGCAAATTAGTTTTATGTCTACATTGTGGTTTCTTGCGCAAGAACATATGCAAATGAGGCATGGCAATGAATATTGCCGCACCTCATTTGCATACTTAATGAGCTGCCATTTTTGCACAAGGGGCTTTTGCGCAAGAAGGAGCTGTCTACTCTGCTCCTTCTTGCGCAATCCCCCCCTCTTGCGCAAGAGCCGTTCTGCCACTTATTTTCAGGCAGAACAGCTCTTGCACAAGAGGGGATTTTTGCACAAGAAGGAGCAGTGTAGATTGTTCCTTCTTAAGAAAAAGCCCCTTGCACAAAAATGGAGGCTCATTAAGTATGCAAATGAGGCACGGCAATATTCATCACCATGCCTCATTTGCATATGTTCTTGTGCAAGAAACCACAATGTAAACATAGCTTCAGAGCTTATGAAAACATGCTTGTTTTCTCACAACATGAAACATGGGGGTTTTGAGTGAGCTACACCTCAAGTTTTTTCGGTACTTGGAAACTATAAACTCAAAGCAAAACCAACTCCAAAAACCAGAGAGAAGATATGTAGATCATGGGGGCTGAAATGGCTGACTTTCACAGCTCTCATGGAGGAATGGACCATCTAAATCCAATGTGGCTTCAATCCTTTGTGATTTTGGGGGGTCCTTTCAACATGATATTGTTATAAGAAGCCAATACACTGAACTATTACTAAAAAGAAATGCCCTCTAGTGGTCAAATAAAATAAGGCCCTGCATTCTCTTTTGCTTAAGCGAATGTACCCCACCTCACTTTTTGCTTTTTTCAAAACTGCTGTGAGCAAGATTCCATATCATATATACACTCTGCTCTTCCAAGATGCCTAGGAATAAAAGATCATTTGAAATGGTTGTTTTGTCCTGCAGGGCATCAAATGTGCTTAGTAAATTCACTAGAGTTTCTGTAAGGGTCATATCTATGCTAGGGATTTTCCACGGACTAGCTGATTATTCGATAAGTGGGGGAGCTACAGCAGCTGAAGCATAGCAGGAGAGACCCAGCGTGAGCTGGGACAGCTGAAACCCACTGGGTACCCCCTGCTGCTCTTCATACATTTAAAAGGCTGAAGCGCAGCAGGGGGACCTGGCACGAGCTGGGAATCAGCTGGCCTTGCTTGCGCTAGGTCTCCCCCCCCCGCTGTGCTTCTGATTAAGAGCCAACAGGCTCTTAATACATTTTTGAAGGACAGGTGCAGTGTCTGGGACTAGGCGGGAGCTGGGCCAGCTGAGTAACA